GTAAATTATCATCAATAATAATTTCTATTTATTTTCTTATACTATCAAATTATTCACATAAATAAAGTCGATTTTACATTAATTCACTTTCTAAACAATTTAGTTCAAATTTAAAATTTTCTGCTATTTATAATAAGTTTATTTATTTTTTTATTGTTTCACTTTATTATTTTATATCTATATCTAAACATAATTTTTAATGGCAATTCTTCAATTCTATCAAATTGTTTTTGAAATAATTACTAAAATATATTATTCTTATTATTTACATTTATTATTGATATGACTCTTTATTATTTTTAAATCTAGGAGGTAATTAAGCAATTACACATGTTGGAGATTATCGTACTTAAGCTTATTTATTTAGAGTTTCCTGTAAATTTTTATTAATTTTTCTGATCTTAAAGAAATTATGATTATCTAAATACTTGTTATTATTTTTCATATATATATGATTTCAATTATTCCTACTTTTCTTTAGTAAAGAATTCATCTATTTCTAATTTAATATTACAAGTTGTCTAATAGGATATTTATTATTATACTTAGACTTTCTAAAATATTACTTCTAATTGTTATTTCTCTAAATCATCCTTCCATTATGTTGATAAAATATAGTTTAATAATTCTTATTAAGTTTGGAGGGCCAATTCAAATTTATTCATTATGAGAAATATCCAAAAAGAATTTATCTAATAATCAAATAAGTATTTAATAATATCAATTTGAATGTATAGGTTGACTAATAAAGAATGAATTCAATTCTCTATCTAATTTCTCTCTTTCTTATTTTAAATTCAATCTCAATTTCCTATAATACATAGTTAAATTATTTTACATTAAAATTTAATATTATCGTTCTTTTTCTGATTTTCTTCTTAGTTTTTTATAATTTGGAGATTCAATATTTTTATTTTCAGGCAAAGTAACTTAAATAGATGATTCATTAATATTAGTAAAAATTGATTATTCTTCTTTTAAATTCTTTTTTGAAGAATTAACTTTTTCTTCATAAATTTAAGTTTATTCATTTGTCTTATTTAATTCATAAACTTCAACTTCTACATCATTATTAATTTAATCATTATGTTCAGTTATAATAATTTTTGGTATGGATGTAGATTTATTAAGTATTCTTTTTTATCTTTCTTATTCTAATAATTATTTTTAGACTTTTTCAATTGATTCTTATCTTTTCTTGTTTCTTTTAAATTTAATTAATTCTAATTTGTTTCTTTTAACAATCTTTTTCCTCTCTTTTTCTTTTGTTTCAAGATATTTTTCCTTTTTTTATAAAATATAATTAATATAATACATAAATTTATTCTCTTTTAGACATATTATCAAGTGCTTCTTAAAATGTATTTTCTGTTTTTTCTAATATTAGATTTTCTGCTTTCTATTTATATGTTAAATATTTATAACTAAGACTTCTAAACTTTTATTTTTATGATTCTCTTGTTATTTATATATATTATTCAACTTTCTAAAATTTATTATTCATTTATTCTAATAATTATTAATGTTCCTATTCTATTTTCTAATTTATATATAAATATATAACTAATTAATGTTATTCAACTCTCTCCAAATATATTTTATGTTTCATAGATTTATAGATTTAATTTTATCTAATCTATTCTGTTTATTCTTCATTTAATATATTAAGACGATGTTCTCTGAATAAAAATTATATCTTACAGCTCAATCTCTTTCTTAAATAATTCATTTTTCTATTTAATAATCCCTAAAAATTGATGTTCTTGCATCTAATTATTCTTTCTCTATATAATTTTAGCTTTAATATTAAATTTATGAGCCTTCTATCTAATCTACATTTTCTTTTCATTTTTAAATCCTTCAGCTTTCTTCAATGATTCATTAAGAGATTAACTCTTTAATATTCGATTTGATTCCTCAGATTTTAAACTACTATAAAATTTCTAATATTATCTAATTCTCTTACTCTAATCCTTTCTCTCTCTTAATTATATGTAGTATAATACAATTCATATTATTCTTGCATAATATATTTATTTATTAATATTATTTATAATCATCCAAAAAAGCATATAATAGAATTGACTTCTCCCAATTCCACTAAGAAAGCTCCCTCTCCTAAACTTTAATGTGGAGGTAATTATACACAACTCATGTATTTACCAACACTATATACTTTATTATCATGAATTATTGAAGTCAAAGGTAATAAATCTACAGGTAATTGACTATCATTTACAGTAATACTTTTTTATAATTAATATAATATTAATACCTTTCATTCTAAATATTATAAACCAAAATCTTTTTACTAAAATAAAGATTATTTTCAAAATATTGACTATCCTTTAATCCTCCAAAAATTAATATTTAATCTTCATTAATACATATTGCATTTCCCCAACTTACATCAAAACCTTCTAATTAATTATTAATTATTAATCTTTCCCATTTCTTTGATAATAAATCATATCTTTCTGCACTAACAACATTTAATTATTAACTTGATGTTCCAAAAAATACAAATATACCATGTTATTCTTCTGAATAAGCACATGAAGATCTTGATCTAGCATCATTTAATTTTTCTATCTCTTCCCATTATTAATTTTCTATATTAAATCTTTCACATAATTTTGTTCTAAAATTATTATGTGTTTTTCCACCAATTGCATAAATATATCCTTTTGGTGCTTCTGACCAAAATGTATTTGGTTATATATATACTAAAGTATGTCCTACTCTTTTTACAAGCATATCAGGTAATTTTAATACAGTTCCTTTTGAAATATCAATAAATCTGCATTCTCCTAATATCTATCCTTATGCATTAACACCTCCACTAATGAATAAATTACCATTTGGTAAATTCAAAAAAGAACTATGATCTGGAATTTATTCATTTAAATCTGTTTAAAAGATCTTTTATGAAGCATAATCATATGCATATAATTTATTATCTTAAGCATATGGTATACAACTATAAAATAAATAAATAATAATAATAAATTTACATTGTATTTTCAATAAAGAAATTTGGTTTGTTAATAAATAGACTTTCTGCCTTTCCTTTTTTACTTGGCCAATATACAGAAGCATATTAATTTAAACCAAAATATAGACTTTCTGTTATTCTATTTTGAACTTTAATATTTGGCATACATTCACTTGTATGATTAGGATAACTTTCAGTTTAAATTTACATACATTCTTATTATATTTCATCTTTCTTTGCAGGATAATTAGCAGCTTAAAATTCTTCATAATCAAATTATGAAAATTATTTATCATTCATTTTTTTCTTATATTCTGATAATTAAGCAAATATACTCTCAATTTCTTATTTCATATATTCTTTTTATATATAAAATAATTCAATACATTTTAATGCTGTTGTTGGATAGAATCGACTTAAGTATATATAAATATTTTGAATATCTTTGAAATATTAAGTAATTATATGATGAAGCTGTTATTTTGAACCTTCAATTAAATCAGTATTTTTATTATAACTTGCTTAATTTCCTAATTCAGGTATCTCTAAATTTTGAATCTTCTCCTTCAATTATCTTATTTGAGTCAGCAATTACGAGATATGAGCTTTTACTGCCTCTTAATTAATATTCATTATTTTTATTTATATCATCATATAATAATGAAATATTACTAATTAAACTAAAATATACATTCTAATCAATAATTAATTCTATTCATTCAATATATCAAATATAAAAATAACACTATAAATATTCATTTGAGATCTATCAATATTTTAATAGAGAATTCCTTACTATAGTCATGTTAGATAAATGACAACTCTTTTACATAATCTTAGAATTATAAATATAACTAACTGAGTCTTTCTTCATAAAATTATTTCTAATATTATTAAAACTAAACATACCCTAAAACTCTAAATAATGATAAAAACTCTTCTACATGAGTATATTTTGTAATATGACCAATATTTCTAAGCTTATTTTTAAGATGATTCATTAACTTTATAAATTCTTCTCCTCTTTCTTCTCCTAAAGTTTCAAAAATTATTGTTCGTTATCTACAAGCATATGACACTATAGCTTTAGCATAATTTTTCTGTATATTTGTAGATTTAACCAAAAGGTTAAGTTTCTATATGTTCTTAGTTAGATTGGCCTTAATTGATTTAGGATTTTAAGCAGTATCTCTAGGTTCATCATTATCACTATCACAATCTAGATGACTTTCGGTTTCAGAGATGGTTTTTAGTTTTTAACTTCCCTATTGTTAGTTCAAACCAATAGATATATTATTTGTTTAAGTTAGATTATCATTAACTTAGATTTGAGAATTAACTATCTATGTATTAGTTAATGCAATAGGTGCTGTCATTAACAAATATTAATATCCAAAAGGATAGAAGAATGGCTATTGTACATAATAAGCATTAAAGTTTGTATTAAGCATCAAATATTTTTAAAAAATAAATAAACACAACCGTAAGACTTAATATATTAATAATCCAAATTCGGTTTATTCGCTTTATTAATTATTAATTATTTTTCAATTGTTTTTATAAAAATCTAATTGAAGTTTTTTTAGATATTATTAATAATTATTTAACTTAATACTGTTTAGTGGTAAGAGTTTTAAAGGTTAACAAAAGATGAATCTGAATTGAATAGATTAATTTTTAATTGAAAGAATATCAATAGTAGTTAAATTAAATACTTTGAAAGAAGGTAGAGATATGGAGTATGGATTAGTTAATATACATACTACAAGAATAATAGTTACTATCCTAATTTAATCTTGTTATATATTGATATTTTATATTATTATATTATAGTAATATTTCCAACATTAAATTATATAGTAATTATTACATATATGAATTAATTGAATATATATTTAAGTAGATATAATTTAAAGTATTTTAAAATGATATTATATATATGTATAAGATATATCAAATAATATAGATATTATATAATATTAATGATTTATAATATTAAAGATATTCATTATTCAAATTCATCAATCTTAAATTTGTTATCTATTTTTGGTGTAGGTTATTTTGTACGAATAGTGTCATTTTGATCACCTTAAAATTATTAATATTTTTTAATTTATTATTAATATGAATTAATCTACTTTCTTGTTTTATTGCCATAACAAATCAAAGTTAAAATACTAAAGAATAAAGCTATTCCCAAACAAATACTTATCATTATCAAAAGTTATCTATTAAAATGATTGGCATTCTCTTAAATAACATTAATTCCAATTTCAGTATTAAATTAACATACAATTAAATCCTTACTTAGAATTTCTTAATTAAATTATTACTTTTATTCACAATCACTTAAATTACTAAATATTTAATAATAAAAACTCTAATTTAATTAATAAATAAATACCTATCCAATTAAATTTGTGTCATTTGTTTAGCATACTATATTACCTTAAATCTAATCTATTTAAAATAAAGTTATTGAATCTGTATCTACACCAAATATATTATCATATGAATTTTATATATTAGATTCATAAAAATTTAGATATATTGTATGTGCTAATGTAAATGGATAATTATTAAAAATATTCTATTATTATGAATATTAAATACAGTAAAAATACTAGGTTATGAATGCTTAATTATACTATGAGTTTCTAATCCTTTAATAATAACAAAATTATTATTAATCTCTAAATTCTAGGCTGAATTCTTAAGGATATGGGAGTTTACTATAAACCATATACCTTATTATAAATTAATCTCTAAATCTATCAAAATTATTTATTTTTATGATTTTTTAAGAATAACAAAACTTTAATCATTATTTTAATTAAAATTAAATGAAGATTCAATAGGTATGAATGATAAAATAGAATATTATTTGATTTAAATTTATTTTTGATTATCAAATAATATTCTATATATATGTATTCCATCATCTTTTAATAAAAATATGTATTCATTTTATTTACTTAAAATAATATCAATAATAGTTTGATTTTATTCAATATGATTTTTTAATATAATTATTTGATTTCCTACATCAACCCAAAATATTAACAATCCTTCTTATGTAGCAATAAATATATATCCCAAACTACATAAAATTTTTGTAATTTTCATCTCTGGAATAACTTATGACATCAACATGCCTTTATCATCTTAAATGATTAAAGTAGTTTAATAAAATAGAAATGCCATATTTAATTCAGCACTGAAAATACCTTTTTAAAATAATTNAATATTAAAGATATTCATTATTCAAATTCATCAATCTTAAATTTGTTATCTATTTTTGGTGTAGGTTATTTTGTACGAATAGTGTCATTTTGATCACCTTAAAATTATTAATATTTTTTAATTTATTATTAATATGAATTAATCTACTTTCTTGTTTTATTGCCATAACAAATCAAAGTTAAAATACTAAAGAATAAAGCTATTCCCAAACAAATACTTATCATTATCAAAAGTTATCTATTAAAATGATTGGCATTCTCTTAAATAACATTAATTCCAATTTCAGTATTAAATTAACATACAATTAAATCCTTACTTAGAATTTCTTAATTAAATTATTACTTTTATTCACAATCACTTAAATTACTAAATATTTAATAATAAAAACTCTAATTTAATTAATAAATAAATACCTATCCAATTAAATTTGTGTCATTTGTTTAGCATACTATATTACCTTAAATCTAATCTATTTAAAATAAAGTTATTGAATCTGTATCTACACCAAATATATTATCATATGAATTTTATATATTAGATTCATAAAAATTTAGATATATTGTATGTGCTAATGTAAATGGATAATTATTAAAAATATTCTATTATTATGAATATTAAATACAGTAAAAATACTAGGTTATGAATGCTTAATTATACTATGAGTTTCTAATCCTTTAATAATAACAAAATTATTATTAATCTCTAAATTCTAGGCTGAATTCTTAAGGATATGGGAGTTTACTATAAACCATATACCTTATTATAAATTAATCTCTAAATCTATCAAAATTATTTATTTTTATGATTTTTTAAGAATAACAAAACTTTAATCATTATTTTAATTAAAATTAAATGAAGATTCAATAGGTATGAATGATAAAATAGAATATTATTTGATTTAAATTTATTTTTGATTATCAAATAATATTCTATATATATGTATTCCATCATCTTTTAATAAAAATATGTATTCATTTTATTTACTTAAAATAATATCAATAATAGTTTGATTTTATTCAATATGATTTTTTAATATAATTATTTGATTTCCTACATCAACCCAAAATATTAACAATCCTTCTTATGTAGCAATAAATATATATCCCAAACTACATAAAATTTTTGTAATTTTCATCTCTGGAATAACTTATGACATCAACATGCCTTTATCATCTTAAATGATTAAAGTAGTTTAATAAAATAGAAATGCCATATTTAATTCAGCACTGAAAATACCTTTTTAAAATAATTCTTTTGTTTTAATAAAATCAGATAATTGCTGTTTATTTATAATTTCTATTTTATCCAAGTCAAATAAAATATAGTTATTAAATTCTGTTATTAAACCTAATTTTTTATTTAAGTGAAATGCATATATGATTTGATCATTTTGTTAATCAATTTTATCTTTTGATATATCAATTATCTATTTAGTAATATTATTTGTTAATGTAATTGTGTCATGTTAAATACTGCATAATAATGTCTAATTATTTGTTGATATATTGCTTTTATAAATTGCTCCTCTAGGATATGTGTATAGAATTGCATCTTCATTTATTCTCATATCATAATTTATTGATGACTATACTATAAATGGGTATTATGCTGATACCTTATATCAAAGACAATGCAAAGTCAGATGGTTTGATTTATTAAGATTAAGCAATTGCTAAAATAATTGATAGTATAATAATCATTTTATTATATAATGAGATCAACATAATTAACATAATGTATACAAAAAGAAGAAGATGATCAATTTATTTATGAATTTGATAACCTATCTGAACCTTAATAAAATTTATAGACTCCTGATTTTTAAGCTACAAAATAAAATGAGGCTAATTAGTAAGTCTCATACTCAGCTTAAATTTAGTAAACAGATCAATATGGATTTAAATCATAAATAAATTTAATACATCATAAAGATAGAAAAACACTTAATGCAAGAGTAGAAAAATGGAGATAAATGATAAATGAGTTTGATAAATAAAATGCATAATTAATCAAAGAAAGAACTCGAAAAGTATTTCCTAATTTTATTTTAGGGAATACCTGATGGATTAAGAATTCTAGCTTGGCCACTTCTAGCTGATATCAAAAAGGCAAAAGAAAAATCAAATACCATTTAAAAGATGTCAAAATATTCTGATTTTTTAACAAAAAATGAATTTAAATTCGAGCATTAGATAAGATTAGATGTTCATCGTACATTCCCAGATAATATTAATTTTTAAGTACTTATCCTTTATATTCAGGATTAAACAGTACTTTCTGAATCTCTAGTCAATGTATTAAAAGCATTATCAGAAGCTATTCCAGACATGGGATATTGTTAAGGATTAAATTTCTTAACTGCAGCTCTTATTATGGTGACAAATGATGAAAATGTAAGAATCCTTAATAATATTTAGGCTTTCTGGATTCTATATCGATTAATGACACATTACAATTTAACAGCTAAATACAAAGATCCCAATTCTCTTTATAGAGAATTTTATATTCTTGATAATTTGATATAATAATATCATCCCTATACTTCAAAAATACTAAAACGTCATAATATTGATTTGTTCTATTTTACAACTGAATGGTTATACATATTTAATTAATATTAGGTTTATTACATTATTTTCAACTGCTCTACCAATTAATCTATTTTATAGAGTTTTTGAAATCTTCTTAGTTGAAGGTGAAAAAACTATTTTTAGATGTGCTTTAGCAATAATTCATTTCAAAGAATAAAAATTAACATAATTAAATGATTTTGAAAATGGTCTTTAATATCTTAGGTCTAATGAAGATTTATTTCATTTAGATTCTAATTAATTCATTAATCTAATGCTAACCAAATACAAATTCTCCAAAAATATAATTCAATAATTAGATTAGAAATATAAAAAAAATTAAAAGTGAGAAACAAGAATTTGTTTAAATATATATATTATAATAATTAATTAAAGTACTAAAATCTAAATAATTATTCTTAAGAAAAAAAATTATGAAAATTTTATGAGTTATTTTGGTTAACTTAAGTTATAATCACCTAATAAATTAACTAAAATCTAAAAGTTTATTCTTTTAATATATAATTCATATATTTATATATATAATAAATATATTTATAATATTATATTCATATTTATTATATATATAATAAATATATAACAATCTAATTTTAATTTCTTATTCTTATATAATTTTGTTCAAAATAATAGTATATTTTATATATAAAAGTCTATTTCTAAATCTTATTATTATTAAATAACAAAAAAAAAAATTTGATCTTAATAAATGTTTTAAATATCTGTTTATTATCAATTACAAATTTAATTATGAATATATTTAAATAACTATTCAATATTAAAAAGAGGTTTTCTAATATTTTCTATTAAAAATAGAGATATCTCCAAGAAATATTTGGTATTTTATAGTAATATAGTATATCTTTATAAATAGTTAAACAATATTTATGTTAAATTTGAAATATAATTATTACTATAAGTTGATTGATTATATATCATTTAAATTATCTTACAACAATTTTAATAATAAATGAATTAAAAAGTAAAATTTTTGACATAAATATAGAAATAATACTATTTTTAAGTAGATCTAATCATAAATGAATTAACAATGACATTGTATTATTTAATAATAAATAGTTGAATTAATAAATAATATATTTATTGGATTATATCGATAATTTATTATAATATATAAATGTAAAAGGAAAGTGAAGAGAAGATAATCAAGTAGTTATTTAAGGAGGTATATCCTTAGCCGATTCGCATTAGATACTGAACTATTATAAGAAGTTGATGGAGAATACAAGTGATAGTGCAGAGTTACCATGCCAAGACAATATGGTTGAGGATGTTTAGGTTTGTTTCCGAATAATGTGCCAAATTGTAGATTCGTTTCTCTAAGGGTATCATGATTTGAAGAACCAATATAAATTACTTGAAGATCAATTAATTCAAAAAGAGACTGAGGCAAGAAAGCATATTTAGATTTAATAACAATTAAAAATATATGCAGAAGACTTATAAGACACATGTGAAGAAATGCAAAAACAATTAGAGAAATCTAATTCATAAATAATAGTATTGAAATGATTAATATTATGGAAGCAATTATCAAAAGAGATTGTTAGAATGAAAAAATAAATTAAGATTTCTAGTTAAGAGAGATTAATGACTGATACTACATAAGATAGATTATCAACAATAATATCATAACAGAAATAATAAGTGTAACCTAAAACAATGATTAAATTGCCAAAAAAGAAGACATCTTAAAATCTGTATTTAATTGAAATTAAATTGTAGAAAAAATTCGATATCAGTCTTAGGATAGACTATAACAATAGATAGAATGTAGGAATTAGTAAGTTTGTATGGAAAGAAGAAACCTAAGAGTGCAATAAAGACTAGATCTAATACAATACATATTACTGATTAGATGACTAAACCTATTAAATAAAAGAGAATGTAATCAATCCATGATGTTTGAATACTGTTATAAATATATTTAAATATAAATTGTTGTTAATTATATTACAATAATAAAATTAGTAATATATATAATATCATTATTTTATAATATAATTATTATTGATCTTAATCTCTTATTCCATTAATTAAAGAATCTTTCCTTCTAAATTTTAATTCTTCTTCATTTATGAATCATATCCTTATTTAATCTAAGTTAATTCCTCTGATTTCTTTGACAATTCCTTATCTTTTTTATTAATAATTTAATCTATTATCTATTATATTATAATACTTAATTAATTAATCTTCCACTATAATTCTTATAAATCTAATATTTTACTACTTTAACAACCATTCTTTTCTAATTATTATTTATAATTCTCCTTCTCTTATTAAATTTAATTTAGTTATAATTCTAATTACCTAAAAATGAATTATTAAATGTTTAAACTTTATTTTTTAATCATTATGTAGTAAGATTTATTCATATTCTTTAATTTTGTCATTTAAATTTGAAATTTAAGTTTCAAATAATACTTTTTCTGCATTAGATAACATATAATGGCTATCTTCTTCAATTTTCCTTTATTCTAATCTATCTTTCATTTCAGATATTTCTTGCCATAATACTTAATATCTAGTACTAGCTTATTATAATTCATTTTATTTTTATAATAACTCTTATTTATATGAATTCTAAAATATTCTATAATATTACTTCAACTTATTCTTTTTAAGTTCTTAATATATTCATTTATTCCTTTAACTATTAAATAGTATTATTTAAAGAAATTATAGTCTAATGACTTTGAGCTTATTCTTATTTAAATTTTATTAATTCATTTTCTAACTAATTTTGATATATCAAATATTCTTATGTTTTTTATTTATCTTTATATTATTTTTCTAAATTTTCTATTTTTTAATTTAAAAGATCATTTTCTTATTGTAATGCATCTTTTTGATTTAATAAACTTTAAGATTTAAGTTCTAAAGTTGTTATTGTTTCTTTCATTTATGAAATAGTTTATTAATCTAATTAATAATGCTATAATTATTATCTTAATTAATCATTGCTTATTTAAAGTGTTAATAATTTAATTTCTGCTTATTCAAATTTATAACTTAATTCTCTTTAAGTATATTTATTTTTATTATTATTCGAAATTAGATTCTCTTTATCATTTTTTATGATTGGATCTTATGACATTTTATCATAATTAAATGCTCCATCTTTCAATTTTTTATTTTCCTCTTATAATTTATTTATTTAACATTTTAATTGTTGATTTTCACTGTTAATTTGAGAAATCTTCTATTCTTATTATTCTAAATGTGATTATAGTTTATCTATATCTACATTACTTAATTGATTTTTAATTTAAGTATTTTCTTCTACTAAAACATTTGATAATTATGAAGCAGATTTCAAAACTTAAATAACTTAATCAATTTAAGTTTGTATCACTTTATCAAATTGTTATTTAAAATCATCTAAATAATCATTAACAAATTTGAAATGATCTTTGAGAGTTTCAATATTATTCTTTAACCCTTTAGGCAAAGTAGCATTCTTTTTTTCAACATTACTTTCTTAAGTATAATTTAAGGATGTATATAAACTATCTAAAAATCTACTTGGGAATGTTTTATTAGAGAGAAGACAGACTGTAGATCCAGATTAGCCTTTAACTTAATAAAATGAATCTCTTTGAGTGTTTTTTTATTATTAACCTTTGATTGGTGAGATTTAATCAATTATGCTCCTAAAGAAAAATTGTTTAAATACATTCTCATTTTTTAGCAGTTAGTGGTATTAGTATTATGGTTTTAACTATGTTGACGGACCTAAAAAAATGGATTTGGTTTTTGGGTTAGTTACATACTCATTTTGCTGTTATAAATTTAAATTTATTGGAATAAAATGAAATAAATCAAATCAAGCATGGCTAGCAATTCTTTAATTTCTCTCATGGTTTTCATCATTAACTTAGTTAAATCTGGATTCAACTAGTTCTTCTAATGAAGCTACTAATTAAAGTTCATTTCTTCTAGCTTGAGTAGCAAAATTGTATTCATTATCAAAAGTTGCACATAAAGCTTAAGCTTAATCCCAAAGTTATTGATTTCTTTAGAGTTTTCCTGAAGCTCTTTAGGCAATTGCTGATGAAGATCCAATTTATTAACTTAAAGAATCTAATTTATTTTAAAGTCTTTCATGTTAAGCTTCAAGTCTGGCAATGGTTTATCCTAATCTTTCCTTTTAGTCATTGAAGGCTGCAACTGAAACGGCATTTGATTCAGTATAATCATTGTATGCTTCTTAGATATTGGCTCTTAAAGTTTCCAAAAGTTAAGCAACTCTTTCAAGTGCTGATTCATCAAGTTATCCTTCTGATGTAGCTAATTAAGCAAAGGCATAAAAGATTGGGGCAAATCTGGTTGTTTCTTTGATGTTGAAAGCTGTTTAGAGCATATTTTTAGCAACTCTACTAATTTCAACGAATGATCCTGATCCACTATAGATTGATGCTAAAATGTCTGAAGCTTCATCAATAGCATGGAGAGCATCTTCATAATCTCTTCCTCTTTTTTTAAAATATCCAGCTTCACTTTCAGCAGATGTTTAAACTGAGGTCATGTGTTCTTAAGCTGAGAAATATTATTATTAGTTGACTTCTGATTAACTTGTAGCTCTAATTTTTGATGTTTAAGCAACATTTAAAGCAGCTGTAGAGTCTCTAAGGACATTGCTGGCATCTTAGACTTCAGCACTTCTGAATTCATTTTCAGAAGCACATTCAACTTATTGGATACCATAGATTTCATCATGTTTAACTTATTCTGTGTTTACTGCATCTCTGAAATCTCTTAAAACATTTAATATTGCTTCAAGTGGTGATTTATTTTTCAATTTAGCTTCTACTTCAGCTAAAACTGCTGAAATAGATCTTTTTTTAGTATAATCTAAATTGAATTTTGATGTAGCATTTGCCACAGCTAAAATGACTAATAAGCACAAGGCAATTCTCATTAATTTTAATGATAAATTTCCATGATGGTATTAAGTTTTAAAATGAAAAAATCTATAATGAAAAACGGATTTAATTAAAACAGCATACTATGTGCAATAATCATATTTGTTAAGAACATTCTGAATTTATTCCTGTCCAATTAATCAATAGGAATTTTTCCATTTTTTATTTTTCATTTATGTATAAGATTTTACTCATAAATATGGGTTTGTTTAATTATTATAAGCATATAAGAATATATTGCCTAAGAATTACTAATCTATATTATTTTGATTTTGTGTTCCATTATTATTCACTATTAATATATTTAAATAATTTTTTATTCCACATATATTCTTTCTCATTCAATTACTATTTAATTCATTCTATTTAAGTGTATTAATTATTCTGTCTCTATCTTCAAAGCTTTATTTTGTAATATATTATTTTAAATAAATGATTGATTTCACTTTCATCTAAAAATAAAGCTAGAATAATGTTATGTTTGAGCATAATAAAACTAGTAATTTTTATTTATTGATGAGGTTTATATTATCTTCGTCAATTTTTATATGTATAATAAATAAATAAATCATAACAAATATTATTCTTTGATCTTAAAATTATAATATTAACACGTATTAGCTAATTCATCTAATAATTGTTTATTTTATTGAATTCTAGTTGAATATAACTAATGCTTGTCTAAAATGCTTTAAGCTTACATTTCTCTTTCATTATTTAATTTTTCTAATCTTTGCCTAACTTAGATAAATTTATAATCATTATTAACAGATTTAGCAGTTCTAATTGATTCTGCTTTAGATTCTTATTATTTAAAATCCTTTTATATCTTTTATGATTCACTATTTGACAATACTTAATTCATTGATTTTCTTCTTTCTTTACTTTATTACTTTATTTATTTTTCCTAACTCTTTTATGTTAAATGTAGTAATTTCTAATAAATCTAATTTAATCTTGCTTATTCTAATTCTTCTTTATTTTTTTATGATTTTTCAATATGTTAATGAACCTAAAATCTATAACACTCATTACAATTTCATCCTGACCATGTAACTTTTATTTAATAATATCCATTCTTTGAGATTTCCTTTATTTTGCTGCATCCATACTCTTATTCAACTAATCAAATAATTCATTCTTTAATAATTTATTAATCTTACTTCATTCAATTTTCTAGGTTCAGCTAATTTAATCTTTTGAATTGGATATCCACGAATTTCTTATTTCTAAATGGTTTTATTTTATTAAATTTAGGATATTTCTTTATTTAAAGGTGTTTCTGATTTTCTATCATTAGTCTCTTCTTAAAATGACATTTAACGAGGTTTTTTTGGTTAATTAAGTTTTTTCAATTTATTTTGTAATGCATTTAATTGTTCTTCCTTTTTTTGTAAACTTGCTTCCATTGAATTAGATAGTTTTTCATTTAATTTCTATAACTTTTCATTATAATCAGATCTTAATTTTTTTTTATTCAAATGAATGGATTCCAATCGAATAATATTGAATTTTGCTCTTTACATTTGTTCTTAAGTTATTCATTTCTTTACCTTGAAGAGGATTCGAATATCCTCCATTCTAAACTTTACTTTCAATTCTATTTTCAAGTCCTATTTATAAAGTAGTTAAATTACTTTAAAGTTCTTTTGAATATGGTAATAAAATATTTTACATTTTAAATATTAAAATTTCATTAGAATAAAGCAACTCAGTTTTTCAATTATAGTAATTAACTGTCTATTTATAAATGTATTAAAAATTATGAGATTTCAAAAAAGCAATTCCTAAATTAAACATTAATTATTTCATGTTATTAACTTCATTAATATAATACTAAATATTAAAATTATACTAAAAGTAGAAAATTTATTCTCAATTAGACTATTTTATATCAAATATAATAAAATGATTATATTAAATAAAAGAGAAATCAAATAAATTAATCTCTTTTGTGGTAAAATAGATTTAATAAAAATAT